ACAACCCAAGCTTGGAATTATTTTGGAAGAACGAGTAGTCGAACCCTCGATTCCCGAGCTCAAAGGGCAAGTGAGTTTTGATTGTGGTTCTTGGGACGGTCCCTTGAAAACCAGTCTAGTAGTGATGTGGGAACTCATGAAACCTTCCTGGTGTCCCCATCCTAACGCAGGCTTAATCTGGGACATGACCGCGGATGTCATGTTAGAACGGGATGATGATGCGAGTTTACATGATCTGGCCATGATACATCACCTGCTGGCCATGAGATTGACGAAGAGGAAGAGCAACCCGTCCACGGAGCTGTCCGAGGAAGGTACACCGAGTAATTGGTTGAAGCAAGGCACATGCTTGGCTCAACACAGCGGGATGGAAGGACATGTTTGTAACCTGGGACACTGCCTGATTACGCTGAGCGAGCAGCATCGACAACTGGCACGATTGTATGGAAGATTGAGCATGTCAGATAAGAGTGCCATGGAGTTGGTCGCGGACTGCCATGGGGTGACAGACGTAAACCTGATCACAGCCTTGGGATTTTATAGCATGACGAGTTCGATAGAATCGCTCGAGCGCTTCGAGCGTGCCCATGAGCTAGTGACGTCCCTCAGCGTGGAAATATTCCCTGGAGCATTACAGACAGAGCAGAAGATTGGAGGCTGGCGAGAAGCTCTAGAAAATGAAATGAATCTGAAGGACAGTGAAGCCTATCACAGACCTACTGGTTCAAAATATATGGTGGGTTCAAGCTCCGCGCCATATTGTAATATCAAGTATCCAACGCACATGGTAGTGATGGATGCGAGGACGCAACAAGTGTTGGTTGACCAACTTTTCTCTGTGCCAAAGTGCGTGAGGTTGGCCAGAATGTCAGAGAGGTCATATGACTTGTTGGCAAAGATCTTTCGGGCAGTCCCGAAGAGATCCGAAGGCGAGTTGCAAGACGTTGTGGGTGAACAGTTCATGAGACTGAACGAAGGCAACGTGAGTGAGTTCCAGAAGCAGAAAGCGAGTGGAGCGTTACCTACTGAATTCCCCACCATAGAAGAGAAAGACGATTTACATAGAATTCTGATGGAAGTGGAACCGTTGCTGGGAGCCTCAGGGTATCGGACCCGAAGGAACATAGTGAGAACCCATGGGGAGTATCCTTGCCACTGCTTGGCACAGACGTTGTGGTACCCCAAACGCGGGAATCTGATCCTAGTATGGGACGTGGAGGAGTTGTACTCCACGGGGTTGCCCGATCAGAATCAACAAGTGTCAATCGTGGTGGTTAGCGCCATGCTACCAGTGAGATGGTTGGAGGCTAACGCGGACACAAGTGAGCAGGAGACGGCCGTGCCGACTCCTGAACAGTTGAGCAACGTTAAAATGAGTCGTGAATTGGATCTTTTCAGAACCACCTGCAAGGTTCTGAGGATACCTAAAGCCATTGAAAGAATTTGGTCAAGGCAAAGATTGATGCCTTGGTTCCGTGCAGTGATGAAATCTTGGATGTATGAACGCGCGAAGCGTCACATGTCAAGGAACACGGAAGCCTATCAATCTTTCCAGCTAGATATAGGACCAGGAGCCTATAAACGAGCATTCTTGACGCACAGAAACGCGGTCACCACAGCGGTGAAGCGGGTAGCTGGAGCGCCTTGTGTTACTGAAGATGAGAAGAAAGAGGTCTTAAGAGCTGACCTAGAACGAAACGTGAGCCTATGTCTTCACAACAGCTTTTGCAGGAACCGGGAGCAGAAGGTGAATGTGGACTTGCTACCTTGTTGCAAACCGAGGCTGCTGGAACAGGAGGGTTGGGGCACGGCCCGCAACTCTCTAGACATGTTAGAGGAAGTTCTGGAAGACAGTGACGCTGAACATCAGGATGGAGAAATGATGGAGTGAAGATGACCAAAGAAGAGAAGAGAAGGAGAGAATAACTTGATTGTCTTTGTGTGTAAAAACTTAAACCAATCAACCAAGTTTTGATTATTGAACTTGTTAAACTTTTTGTTTTGATCTAGTTTGGTCAGACCAAACTTTGAAAATGTTGCAATTGTTGAAATTGTTGAAATTGTTGATTTTAGTTACTACTATCTATGTATGTATATAAGGGACATAGGTGAGTATATTTACCTATTTATTCACGACTGAAGTTTTTAACCTGTGTAAGACACAAATTCACTGTGTGGCGACATGGTAAGTTTGAGTAAACTCGCTCGAGAAGGGTGGGTAACTCAAGAACTTTCCTAGCCACAGAGTTTCTTAGTTTTAATATTGAAAGGACCGCATAGATGAATGATTATACTTGGTGAGTAGTGTTAAGTTAATTTTAACGGGTGCGTGGCCGTGCCACGTCCCACTTTTTAATCAGAGGCGAAAAGAAGTTTTATGGCGAGATGACGTAAGTAGTCAGAAAAGAAATTTTATCTAGGACACTCCTCATGGTGCAAATTTTGTGAAAATGTTGAAAGGCAGTGAGATGTAGTACGATGCCATTTGTGAACACGTAGTGAGTTGAGGTGGAGTAGATAAATTTCAATTTCTTATGTGATTTGTAAGATTGATTACAGAAAACTGGATAACTACTTGACGATAACCCGGTGTTATGCGATCAATAGGGACATTGATGGAGACTTGTCCGGGGAGTATGTGCCATTCTGCCAGATGACACAGCACAACCTTCCGGCGACATAAAAAAGAGTGACTAAAGGCCTTATGAACAAAAAAGTGTTGCGACGGAGGGTCAGAATGTTCTAGAATTTTTATTTTTAAAATTTCGATCGGAAGAAGAACATTTCTGAGAAATAGAAAAAAGACGGCCATTTTGAATGAAAAGACGAAAATCAGAACCACGATAGAGATTGTGAAGAACAGTCGTGCAAGAAAATTACGGAGCCTCTTATCGTGGCAAAAACACACGATAAGGACCTTAGCGACAGATATTTGTGGAGACGGAGGCTTCAGTGGGGGGAAGAAAAATACCACGGAACCCTCCCGGGACACGAAATATAAGAGATAAGAGTGTTATCTCAAGAAAATCACGGGAGCGGAGGCTTGGTCCCCCAGAGACTGTCTATGTGAAGGGACTGTGAAAACTAACTTTAACAGCTGCTGTAATGTCCTAGATCTTAATTAAACACCGATATTATTTGATATTTCAGGACATGAGTAGATAGAAAAAGGAAAGGGTCAATCCATCTCTAATGGATTTAATATAGAACTGTCACACGAAAACATATAAAAATAGGTTGTTCGAGCCGTGTTTTTAATGACAATCACGTAGTCTGAGGATCCGAGACTCAGCTATGTGGTTGTGTTCGCATATAAACGAAAGCTGATCAAAAGTCGTTTGACTGATGGCCTAAAAATGGTAACTTTTTACTTTGCCCTAGACAGACCAGAAAATCAACTGGCAAGGTCGAGACGGTGAAAAACGAGTAGAATTAAGGTAACTGACGCCTGCCAGTCGTTAATAGGTACTTTTTCTACGCTCCGTCGCTGTGTGATATTTGGGCGAATGTTACAAAAAATTCGAATGGAGCCTGTCATGCACGATTTTCTCGCGATAACTAAAAACCGAAAAAGAGAATTCAGAACAATCGAGTGACAATCGCGGGAAAGTTGCAAGAAAAATCGGTAGGAAATTGCTATTCGCAATTTCCGTCACAGCAATAACCTAGAGTAGAGCTGTCCCATTCGAAACAGAGATAAGAGTATTCCCACGAACTGCTGGATTATTGTGACTTGACTGGAGTATTATTCTAAACTGGACTAGAGTGAACCTTCGGTGGAAAAGTGGACAGCTTGAGTGTCCCAATGGTTCACGAGAAATTATAGTCTAGAGTACAAACTTGTTCTTGTTGTTAAAGCTGACAAACATTAAACTCATTTTAGTTACATTATTTAATTCTCGAGTTGATTACCGACTTGATTACTCCCAGTTCTTGAGCGTGCTACAATGTGAGTACTAATTTAAATTTCTAGAGTGTGTTTTACAATTGTTATGTTGAGGTAAGGCGAGTTTTAGGTTGATCCATCTGAAATGGATCAAAGTTCCACTGTCTAATAAAAAGTAATTCAACGGATTGTTCCGACCCGGTTTTTAACAGCGTTCATGTATTTTGGGTATCTAGAGACCTGAGTATGGGGACGTTATCATTTCTAGAGTAGGGGGGATATTTTGGTAGTAGCCTTAAGCTGTAACGGGTCGTAGTCTCATGTCACAAGCGAACCGAATTGGCTCCGACTGATTTGAGGTGGAAAAACACAGGAGATAGTGTCCCTGACTCTTGAGCCAATGGTTATAGGGCTTATTTTTCTTGAGCCTCATGTGTGACTGCAGTAGACGAATGTTACACCATCTCCAAAGGTTTAAATATAGAACTGTCCCCAAAAGCATAGTAAAATAGGATATTCGAGCCGTGTTTTTAATAACAATCACGTAGTCTGAGGATCCGAGACCCAGCTATGTGGTTGTATTCGCATGTAAACGAAAGCCGATTAAAAGTCGTTTGACTGATGGCCTGAAATTAGAAACTTTTTACTTAGCCATGGACAGACCAGAAAACCAACTGGCTAGGTTGAGACGGTGAAAAACGTAGAATCTAGGTAACTGACGCCGGCAAGTCGTTAATAGGTAATTTTTCTACGCTCCGTCACTGTGTAGTATTTGGGCGAATGTTACAGTTCTATCATTTTTGTTGAGTCCGGCTTCAAATTCTATGCAGATGCTATCATACTTTTTGTGCTTGTTGCTTAAGTCATGTCTTACCTTTGGGTTTAACTTTTTAGGAACCAGTAACATGACCCCTCCACCCTTCAATTTTTTACTTGATTCAAAAGTTCTATCGCATCGGAACAACTTATGTTTGTCATTGTCTATGGCTCATTACCCTAACCATAATGCAAGGAAAGCTAAATAGGATTGAGGAGTTAATAAGTCATCCCTGATCGCTTGTGTCGATATATTTATATTTGATGTTTCAAGGCTTCATTTTTTTTGCTGTTTCAGAAGGATATGTGACAAAACAACAGTAGTGTTATGGGGAAAATCTTCTCTATTTTCCAGGTTATTCAAGTTGCTAATTTTGCATAAGCCAGGGCCGATTAAAAGGCATTCCTCTGTGCAGTCTTTTACGAACGGCTTGTATGTGTTTTAGCGTCAGTCTCTGGGGGAACAGCTGGAAGAAACTGAAAATAATATCAATGCAGTTCGGAAAAACCGATACCAAAGTCAACAACGTCAGAAAAGAATTGTTGCTTCAGTAACTCTATGGACGCTTCTACTGTATTCACTTTCTGCTGCTTCTGTTTTTGCGTATTATTTTCCTTCTTCTTGGAAAATGCGCGTCGTTTATGCGCTTCCTCTTTGTTTTGGCCCGGTTTTGTAAGTTCTACAAAAGATTGAAATTTTAATCTCTGTTCATCTACAGAATTTTCTGATAAACTATTTTTCAGGGCATATGTGTTGCGTAGAATAATCATGCTTTACTTCACCAGCCGAATCAAGAGCTCTGATGAAGTGTTACGCAGCTTAATTGAGAAGAAAAAAGCTCTGGTAGTTAATTTAATTTTAAAGTCAAAGTTGATCTTATGTTACTTATATTTTTTTCGGCCTTAGGATGTTCTTTCCGTATGCATGTTTAACTGAAAGCTGTTTCAGCTGCAATCTCTGCCCGAGTGGCGTATTTGTGCTGTTTTTTGCCAATTATAAGTTGAGTCTTCTTAGAGCACAAGTAGTGAAAAGCTTTGCTTCGGCTCCAGCATTTTTTCAGTATTAGAATTGATTTTAACATTTTTCTTGGGCTAAAAAATTGTTTTCTGGACAATATATTGTCCTAATTGCCTCTTTGTTAAAGATCACCTAATTTCATTAAATTTAGAGAATCACGATTGATTTACTTATAAACTGTAAAAATAAACAGTTATGCCACTTAGAATAACAAAAGGTTGCAGAAGAATTAAGGTGTGATTTACTACTTCATAACAAAAATTCATAAGTTTATAATTTTTTTGGGTTCCATTCCATCATGAAGCTTGATTTTGACCGTAACTATAATTAAATAATAATCCACTAAATTGTCCAAGCCTGAAAAATCTTTTGTTGAGCCTGATATCTAAATAAAATGTTTTTTTTTGGTGCTCATTCATAGGATTAGTATGATATAATTAGCTGAATTTTTGGCTCAAAATACATTAAGTACCAAAAATTTCGAATTGACAAAATCAGTTGAAAAGAGCACTGCCTATTTTGAAAAAAATATTGCGTACAATTTTGAAATTCAGGTAGCCTTTAGACATGCAAGAGTTTTCTGAATTAGATAGTTTAATCTTTTTATTAACCTACCTATCTAAACTTCTTTCACTAGCATTTCTGACGTATTGTATTTTCCTTGTTCGATTTTTTGCCTTATTGCATTTTTAATTTTCGATATTAGCTTGTAAAGAGAAGCAATAGATTTGATTTTTTTTTTCAGCTGGAGCAGGTGAGAGAGAAGGAAAGCTATAAGAAGGCAAAAGAAATCCTGGAGAAATATGACCCCGAGGTGATCAAATTCAAGAATGTAAGTAAATTGAAGCAAGTGTTGGTAAATTACAATTGACTCGCTTGAAAGCGTCGCAAATTGAAATTTTTTTAAGTTGTATTTTTTTTCTGCTTGATAGGTATCGATCTATATTATATCGTGTTAGTGGCCTCATATTGCGTCGTTTGACCAGCAAAAAAATTCTGTTTATATTTTGAGGTGAGGGGCTTAATATTTTTTAGGCTCAAATTTTTTTCGGTTTGTTTTTTTTTCCGGCTGACTAGGTTTCGGTCTATACTATTTCGGCTTTGTTACCCAATATTATTTCATTTAAGGAGCGAATAAAGTTTCTGTGTATCCGTGTTTTTTGAGGGTTGAATAAAATCTCATGATTCTTAAGTCTTGTTGGCTTTTTTTCTGCTAAAAGAGTTTCGCTAAGGTATTTTCGATTTGTTACTGCTTGGTAAATTTTGTCCTGATGATAATTTTACATCTTATTGTCTTTTCACAAGCAAAGATTGTGTTATCGTATAAACTATCTTTTTTTTCAACCCAAGTCGCAAATTCTGTGGCGACAAAATGTGATCATTTTGAAAGTGTTCATTTTGATCAATAACCAGATATTAAGTACAGCCAATGCTAAGGATAGTAACACAGACTATTAAATTACAAATAGCACTTCAACTTTAAGGTATCATGGATATTTAGCGTAGAGGTAGGGAAGGAGACCCGCAGCAAAATACGAGGGTTCAAACCTAGACAGGTTTGGATGTTTTTAATGAACTTTTTCGTATACTAGTTAAAATGCGTCCGCTATATAAATTGAGGCATTTGATTCGGTCAGTTTCTTTTTTTTTAAATTGACTGGTACTGCTAGTGCGTCATAATTGGCTTGCGTTACCTAGCAATATTGTAGACTCGTAATTGGCGTGCGTCACTTCAGAAATTTTATAGATTCAAAGTTTTACTCATTCAGTTTTTCCCAGAAGTGTTATCGGTCATATTTTTGCTTGTGTATGCGAAGTGCAACTTCGTTTCTGTGTTGAATGCTTTTTTCTCAAAACTAGCCTTATTCAATTTGATAGATCCAATTATTAAATCCATATATCTCGTATTGATAGGTGTAGATAGATCTAGCCTGTGTAATTTTTTGTTTAGTGAACTGCAAATTAACTCGTTTTGCTGGGTTTCCACCAAAGCGAGGCTTGAGAATTAATATCATGCAATTTAGGCTATCAAAGAGCCCACAATTTTCCGTAAAGAAGAAAATTTAATTTCTATGAAACCATAATTTCAAATCGTCGTTTCAACTGTCTTTTTTTTTTAGTTTTGTCTACTCTGACTGAAGCGAGCACATGGCGATTCAATCATTTCGATGTTTTCCGAAAAAATTGTCGATGAACGTAGTGGAGACTTTTACGTAGGTCCAGGTGATTTTTTTTGTTTTCGGGAAAAAGTCTTAAAATGCTCTAATATTTTCACAAGTGCTTCTACATATTAGTGCATCTATGAATGCATTTAGGTACATGTGCATTTTGAGTTCAGTTCAAGTTCATTTGTTAAAAGGTAGGCGAAATACAAAAAGATAGGCGTCATACAAATGGCGCAAAAAACGAGAAAGACATAGGTTCAAAATTGGAATTTATTTTCAGGATATTAAATTAACCCATTAATCCAGATTTCCTTAAATGGGTTAATGTTATCAAAAACTTGTCAATCATAATTTGTTGTTGAGTTTTAAAAAGCTTTACGGCTATATATTTTCCAGGTTTTGATGATTGTTTTTGTTTGTTTTCCAGGAAAAATTTAAAATTCGCTCACGCCCAAATCAGATTTTTTTGAGGATTGGTTTTTGAATTATTTACACTTGTGGAAGCACGTGTAGTGTAATCAGGATTTAGGATTTTTCCCCGCAAACAACTTTTCTTACAAAATTTCAACTTGTTTTATTATTGAACCCCCACAGATTCCAGGTTCTTCCGCGTTTGACCCAGAGTTAACGCCTGTTGACTTTGCACCCAAGGTTCCGGAGTTTGAATCCCGACAGTACCTTGTTTTTTTCAGTTGCATTCATTTGTCCTCAAGTTTTGGCGGCTCCTCAAGTTTTGAGCTGCCACATCAAGGATTGTTCTTGTGCGTTATAAAACTATCATTGTATTTCCATGCGGTACTTGACTTGAGTTTTTCAAACAATTTTAATATTTTTTTCGGCTCAACTGGTGTCTGATCAAAGATTGTTTCCTTTATTTCGCTTGATAAGTTTTATTCCCTTGCTAATTTAAAATTCAAGTTTTTGCTTGGTATGTTTGCCTAGAATTCCTGTGTGATGAAAAGCAGTTTGATGAAATTGTATGGGATTCGGTTTCTTATTTCATTTTTTTTTGAGACGCTTTGGAAAATTATTTTTTTTTTTCGAAAATATCAGTTTTTCTTAAAAACTATACTACCGATTTTCAAAAAAAGGGTATCAATTGAAAGAGCGCTTACTCCCCTGTCTGCCTGCATACTCCCCTAGTTACTTTTTCCTCTGTCTGCAGCCTTCGAAAAAATCCTCGGGGGGATATTTGACCCATACTTTTTTTTATAAGCAAAAACAACCCTCCCACGGTAGTGTTAACGGATAGTGTTATTCTACCTTGCATAAGCGGCTTTTTTTCTCTGAAAATTATCGCCCTCAGAAAAGTCAAATTTCTCATTTTCATTTATGACAGTTTCAATTTCATCTATCTATCTATCTATCTATCTATCTATCTATCTATCTATCTATCTATCTATCTATCTATCTATCTATCTATCTATCTATCTATCTATCTATCTATCTATCTATCTATCTATCTATCTATCTATCTATCTATCTATCTATCTATCTATCTATCTATCTATCTATCTATCTATCTATCTATCTATCTATCTATCTATCTATCTATCTATCTATCTATCTATCTATCTATCTATCTATCTATCTATCTATCTATCTATCTATCTATCTATCTATCTATCTATCTATCTATCTATTTATCTATCTATCTATCTATCTATCTATCTATCTATCTATCTATCTATCTATCTATCTATATATCTATCTATCTATCTATCTAGAAGAGAAGAGAAGGAGAGAAAAACTTGATTGTCTTTGTGTGTAAAAACTTAAACCAATCAACCAAGTTTTGATTATTGAACTTGTTAAACTTTTTGTTTTGATCTAGTTTGGATAGATAGATCTATCTATCTATCTATCTATCTATCTATCTATCTATCTATCTATCTATCTATCTATCTATCTATATATCTATCTATCTATCTATCTATCTATCTATCTATCTATTTATCTATCTATCTATCTATCTATCTATCTATCTATCTATCTATCTATCTATCTATATATCTATCTATCTATCTATCTAGAAGAGAAGAGAAGGAGAGAATAACTTGATTGTCTTTGTGTGTAAAAACTTAAACCAAACAACCAAGTTTTGATTATTGAACTTGTTAAACTTTTTGTTTTGATCTAGTTTGGTCAGACCAAACTTTGAAAATGTTGCAATTGTTGAAATTGTTGAAATTGTTGATTTTAGTTACTACTATCTATGTATGTATGTAAGGGACATAGGTGAGTATATTTACCTATTTATTCACGACTGAAGTTTTTAACCTGTGTAAGACACAAATTCACTGTGTGGCGACATGGTAAGTTTGAGTAAACTCGCTCGAGAAGGGTGGGTAACTCAAGAACTTTCCTAGCCACAGTGTTTCTTAGTTTTAATATTGAAAGGACCGCATAGATGACTGATTATACTTGGTGAGTAGTGTTAAGTTAATTTTAACGGGTGCGTGGCCGTGCCACGTCCCACTTTTTAATCAGAGGCGAAAAGAAGTTTTATGGCGAGATGACGTAAGTAGTCAGAAAAGAAATTTTATCTAGGACACTCCTCATGGTGCAAATTTTGTGAAAATGTTGAAAGGCAGTGAGATGTAGTACGATGCCATTTGTGAACACGTAGTGAGTTGAGGTGGAGTAGATAAATTTCAATTTCTTATGCGATTTGTAAGATTGATTACAGAAAACTGGATAACTACTTGACGATAACCCGGTGTTATGCGATCAATAGGGACATTGATGGAGACTTGTCCGGGGAGTATGTGCCATTCTGCCAGATGACACAGCACAACCTTCCGGCGACATAAAAAAGAGTGACTAAAGGCCTTATGAACAAAAAAGTGTTGCGACGGAGGGTCAGAATGTTCTAGAATTTTTATTTTTAAAATTTCGATCGGAAGAAGAACATTTCTGAGAAATAGAAAAAAGACGGCCATTTTGAATGAAAAGACGGAAATCAGAACCACGATAGAGATTGTGAAGAACAGTCGTGCAAGAAAATTACGGAGCCTCTTATCGTGGCAAAAACACACGATAAGGACCTTAGCGACAGATATTTGTGGAGACGGAGGCTTCAGTGGGGGGAAGAAAAATACCACGGAACCCTCCCGGGACACGAAATATAAGAGATAAGAGTGTTATCTCAAGAAAATCACGGGAGCGGAGGCTTGGTCCCCCAGAGACTGTCTATGTGAAGGGACTGTGAAAACTAACTTTAACAGCTGCTGTAATGTCCTAGATCTTAATTAAACACCGATATTATTTGATATTTCAGGACATGAGTAGATAGTAAAAGGAAAGGGTCAATCCATCTCTAGTGGATTTAATATAGAACTGTCACACGAAAACATATAAAAATAGGTTGTTCGAGCCGTGTTTTTAATGACAATCACGTAGTCTGAGGATCCGAGACTCAGCTATGTGGTTGTGTTCGCATATAAACGAAAGCTGATCAAAAGTCGTTTGACTGATGGCCTAAAAATGGTAACTTTTTACTTTGCCCTAGACAGACCAGAAAATCAACTGGCAAGGTCAAGACGGTGAAAAACGAGTAGAATTAAGGTAACTGACGCCTGCCAGTCGTTAATAGGTACTTTTTCTACGCTCCGTCGCTGTGTGATATTTTGGCGAATGTTACAAAAAATTCGAATGGAGCCTGTCATGCACGATTTTCTCGCGATAACTAAAAACCGAAAAAGAGAATTCAGAACAATCGAGTGACAATCGCGGGAAAGTTGCAAGAAAAATCGGTAGGAAATTGCTATTCGCAATTTCCGTCACAGCAATAACCTAGAGTAGAGCTGTCCCATTCGAAACAGAGATAAGAGTATTCCCACGAACTGCTGGATTATTGTGACTTGACTGGAGTATTATTCTAAACTGGACTAGAGTGAACCTTCGGTGGAAAAGTGGACAGCTTGAGTGTCCCAATGGTTCACGAGAAATTATAGTCTAGAGTACAAACTTGTTCTTGTTGTTAAAGCTGACAAACATTAAACTCATTTTAGTTACATTATTTAATTCTCGAGTTGATTACCGACTTGATTACTCCCAGTTCTTGAGCGTGCTACAATGTGAGTACTAATTTAAATTTCTAGAGTGTGTTTTACAATTGTTATGTTGAGGTAAGGCGAGTTTTAGGTTGATCCATCTGAAATGGATCAAAGTTCCACTGTCTAATAAAAAGTAATTCAACGGATTGTTCCGACCCGGTTTTTAACAGCGTTCATGTATTTTGGGTATCTAGAGACCTGAGTATGGGGACGTTATCATTTCTAGAGTAGGGGGGATATTTTGGTAGTAGCCTTAAGCTGTAACGGGTCGTAGTCTCATGTCACAAGCGAACCGAATTGGCTCCGACTGATTTGAGGTGGAAAAACACAGGAGATAGTGTCCCTGACTCTTGAGCCAATGGTTATAGGGCTTATTTTTCTTGAGCCTCATGTGTGACTGCAGTAGACGAATGTTACACCATCTCCAAAGGTTTAAATATAGAACTGTCCCCAAAAGCATAGTAAAATAGGATATTCGAGCCGTGTTTTTAATAACAATCACGTAGTCTGAGGATCCGAGACCCAGCTATGTGGTTGTATTCGCATGTAAACGAAAGCCGATTAAAAGTCGTTTGACTGATGGCCTGAAATTAGAAACTTTTTACTTAGCCATGGACAGACCAGAAAACCAACTGGCTAGGTTGAGACGGTGAAAAACGTAGAATCTAGGTAACTGACGCCGGCAAGTCGTTAATAGGTAATTTTTCTACGCTCCGTCACTGTGTAGTATTTGGGCGAATGTTACAGTTCTATCATTTTTGTTGAGTCCGGCTTCAAATTCTATGCAGATGCTATCATACTTTTTGTGCTTGTTGCTTAAGTCATGTCTTCCCTTTGGGTTTAACTTTTTAGGAACCAGTAACATGACCCCTCCACCCTTCAATTTTTTACTTGATTCAAAAGTTCTATCGCATCGGAACAACTTATGTTTGTCATTGTCTATGGCCCATTACCCTAACCATAATGCAAGGAAAGCTAAATAGGATTGAGGAGTTAATAAGTCATCCCTGATCGCTTGTGTCGATATATTTATATTTGATGTTACAAGGCTTCATTTTTTTTGCTGTTTCAGAAGGATATGTGACAAAACAACAGTAGTGTTATGGGGAAAATCTTCTCTATTTTCCAGGTTATTCAAGTTGCTAATTTTGCATAAGCCAGGGCCGATTAAAAGGCATTCCTCTGTGCAGTCTTTTACGAACGGCTTGTATGTGTTTTAGCGTCAGTCTCTGGGGGAACAGCTGGAAGAAACTGAAAATAATATCAATGCAGTTCGGAAAAACCGATACCAAAGTCAACAACGTCAGAAAAGAATTGTTGCTTCAGTAACTCTATGGACGCTTCTACTGTATTCACTTTCTGCTGCTTCTGTTTTTGCGTATTATTTTCCTTCTTCTTGGAAAATGCGCGTCGTTTATGCGCTTCCTCTTTGTTTTGGCCCGGTTTTGTAAGTTCTACAAAAGATTGAAATTTTAATCTCTGTTCATCTACAGAATTTTCTGATAAACTATTTTTCAGGGCATATGTGTTGCGTAGAATAATCATGCTTTACTTCACCAGCCGAATCAAGAGCTCTGATGAAGTGTTACGCAGCTTAATTGAGAAGAAAAAAGCTCTGGTAGTTAATTTAATTTTAAAGTCAAAGTTGATCTTATGTTACTTATATTTTTTTCGGCCTTAGGATGTTCTTTCCGTATGCATGTTTAACTGAAAGCTGTTTCAGCTGCAATCTCTGCCCGAGTGGCGTATTTGTGCTGTTTTTTGCCAATTATAAGTTGAGTCTTCTTAGAGCACAAGTAGTGAAAAGCTTTGCTTCGGCTCCAGCATTTTTTCAGTATTAGAATTGATTTTAACATTTTTCTTGGGCTAAAAATTTGTTTTCTGGACAATATATTGTCCTAATTGCCTCATTGTTAAAGATCACCTAATTTCATTAAATTTACAGAATCACGATTGATTTACTTATAAACTGTAAAAATAAACAGTTATGCCACTTAGAATAACAAAAGGTTGCAGAAGAATTAAGGTGTGATTTACTACTTCATAACAAAAGTTCATAAGTTTATAATTTTTTTGGGTTCCATTCCATCATGAAGCTTGATTTTGACCGTAACTATAATTAAATAATAATCCACTAAATTGTCCAAGCCTGAAAAATCTTTTGTTGAGCCTGATATCTAAATAAAATGTTTTTTTTTGGTGCTCATTCATAGGATTAGTATGATATAATTAGCTGAATTTTTGGCTCAAAATACATTAAGTACCAAAAATTTCGAATTGACAAAATCAGTTGAAAAGAGCACTGCCTATTTTGAAAAAAATATTGCGTACAATTTTGAAATTCAGGTAGCCTTTAGACATGCAAGAGTTTTCTGAATTAGATAGTTTAATCTTTTTATTAACCTACCTATCTAAACTTCTTTCACTAGCATTTCTTACGTATTGTATTTTCCTTGTTCGATTTTTTGCCTTATTGCATTTTTAATTTTCGATATTAGCTTGTAAAGAGAAGCAATAGATTTGATTTTTTTTTTCAGCTGGAGCAGGTGAGAGAGAAGGAAAGCTATAAGAAGGCAAAAGAAATCCTGGAGAAATATGACCCCGAGGTGATCAAATTCAAGAATGTAAGTAAATTGAAGCAAGTGTTGGTAAATTACAATTGACTCGCTTGAAAGCGTCGCAAATTGAAATTTTTTTAAGTTGTATTTTTTTTCTGCTTGATAGGTATCGATCTATATTATATCGTGTTAGTGGCCTCATATTGCGTCGTTTGACCAGCAAAAAAATTCTGTTTATATTTTGAGGTGAGGGGCTTAATATTTTTTAGGCTCAAATTTTTTTCGGTTTGTTTTTTTTTTCCGGCTGACTAGGTTTCGGTCTATACTATTTCGGCTTTGTTACCCAATATTATTTCATTTAAGGAGCGAATAAAGTTTCTGTGTATCCGTGTTTTTTGAGGGTTGAATAAAATCTCATGATTCTTAAGTCTTGTTGGCTTTTTTTCTGCTAAAAGAGTTTCGCTAAGGTATTTTCGATTTGTTACTGCTTGGTAAATTTTGTCCTGATGATAATTTTACATCTTATTGTCTTTTCACAAGCAAAGATTGTGTTATCGTATAAACTATCTTTTTTTTCAACCCAAGTCGCAAATTCTGTGGCGACAAAATGTGATCATTTTGAAAGTGTTCATTTTGATCAATAACCAGATATTAAGTACAGCCAATGCTAAGGATAGTAACACAGACTATTAAATTACAAATAGCACTTCAACTTTAAGGTATCATGGATATTTAGCGTAGAGGTAGGGAAGGAGACCCGCAGCAAAATACGAGGGTTCAAACCTAGACAGGTTTGGATGTTTTTAATGAACTTTTTCGTATACTAGTTAAAATGCGTCCGCTATATAAATTGAGGCATTTGATTCGGTCAGTTTCTTTTTTTTTAAATTGACTGGTACTGCTAGTGCGTCATAATTGGCTTGCGTTACCTAGCAATATTGTAGACTCGTAATTGGCGTGCGTCACTTCAGAAATTTTATAGATTCAAAGTTTTACTCATTCAGTTTTCCCCAGAAGTGTTATCGGTCATATTTTTGCTTGTGTATGCGAAGTGCAACTTCGTTTCTGTGTTAAATGCTTTTTTCTCAAAACTAGCCTTATTCAATTTGATAGATCCAATTATTAAATCCATATATCTCGTATTGATAGGTGTAGATAGATCTAGCCTGTGTAATTTTTTGTTTAGTGAACTGCAAATTAACTCGTTTTGCTGGGTTTCCACCAAAGCGAGGCTTGAGAATTAATATCATGCAATTTAGGCTATCAAAGAGCCCACAATTTTCCGTAAAGAAGAAAATTTAATTTCTATGAAACCATAATTTCAAATCGTCGTTTCAACTGTCTTTTTTTTTTAGTTTTGTCTACTCTGACTGAAGCGAGCACATGGCGATTCAATCATTTCGATGTTTTCCGAAAAAATTGTCGATGAACGTAGTGGAGACTTTTACGTAGGTCCAGGTGATTTTTTTTGTTTTCGGGAAAAAGTCTTAAAATGCTCTAATATTTTCACAAGTGCTTCTACATATTAGTGCATCTATGAATGCATTTAGGTACATGTGCATTTTGAGTTCAGTTCAAGTTCATTTGTTAAAAGGTAGGCGAAATACAAAAAGATAGGCGTCATACAAATGGCGCAAAAAACGAGAAAGACATAGGTTCAAAATTGGAATTTATTTTCAGGATATTAAATTAACCCATTAATCCAGATTTCCTTAAATGGGTTAATGTTATCAAAAACTTGTCAATCATAATTTGTTGTTGAGTTTTAAAAAGCTTTACGGCTATATATTTTCCAGGTTTTGATGATTGTTTTTGTTTGTTTTCCAGGAAAAATTTAAAATTCGCTCACGCCCAAATCAGATTTTTTTGAGGATTGGTTTTTGAATTATTTACACTTGTGGAAGCACGTGTAGTGTAATCAGGATTTAGGATTTTTCCCCGCAAACAACTTTTCTTACAAAATTTCAACTTGTTTTATTATTGAACCCCCACAGATTCCAGATTCTTCCGCGTTTGACCCAGAGTTAACGCCTGTTGACTTTGCACCCAAGGTTCCGGAGTTTGAATCCCGACAGTACCTTGTTTTTTTCAGTTGCATTCATTTGTCCTCAAGTTTTGGCGGCTCCTCAAGTTTTGAGCTGCCACATCAAGGATTGTTCTTGTGCGTTATAAAACTATCATTGTATTTCCATGCGGTACTTGACTTGAGTTTTTCAAACAATTTTAATATTTTTTTCGGCTCAACTGGTGTCTGATCAAAGATTGTTTCCTTTATTTCGCTTGATAAGTTTTATTACCTTGCTAATTTAAAATTCAAGTTTTTGCTTGGTATGTTTGCCTAGAATTCTTGTGTGATGAAAAGCAGTTTGATGAAATTGTATGGGATTCGGTTTCTTATTTCATTTTTTTTTTGAGACGCTTTGGAAAATTATTTTTTTTTTTCGAAAATATCAGTTTTTCTTAAAAACTATACTACCGATTTTCAAAAAAGTGGTATCAATTGAAAGAGCGCTTACTCCCCTGTCTGCCTGCATACTCCCCTAGTTACTTTTTCCTCTGTCTGCAGCCTTCGAAAAAATCCTCGGGGGGATATTTGACCCATACTTTTTTTTATAAGCAAAAACAACCCTCCCACGGTAGTGTTAACGGATAGTGTTATTCTACCTTGCATAAGCGGCTTTTTTTCTCTGAAAATTATCGCCCTCAGAAAAGTCAAATTTCTCATTTTCATTTATGACAGTTTTCTTATGTTTCCAGAGAACGGGTTGTGGGAAGCTCATTTGCATACGCGACTGGGCTCAATTTTTTGACACAAAAAGTCATGGCCCTCGGAAAAGTCAAAACTTAGATTTTCAAGTTTTTGTGAAAGTTTTGACTTTTTTCGATACCTACCCTCCCAAATTATACAGAAGCTGCTACGTCAAATGTTTATTCAGAAATTTTATAAACCTCGGAAAGTTTTTGATTTGACCCCATTTTGGTTACTTTTGTTTTTTCTCGATAACTATTCTGCCAAATCTGATTCCAGAGGTTTAATGAAAGCAACAGGTTGTGGGAAACCTTCAATCATATCTGGCTACACGCAATTTTTTAAAGGAAAAGTTAGGGTCGTAAAAAAGTCGAAGTTTTGAAACAATGGATGTTATTTGGATACTTTTTGATTTTTTCTTTCGAAAACTAACCTGCCAATTCTTAGTTCGAGTGTTCTATCGAGAAACCCGTTATTTGAAATCTGCTTTGTTTAAGTGGCTTCCTTTTTGCGGAAAAGTTATGGCTCTAGAAAAGTCAAATTGTGAAATTTTGACCGTTTCCAAGAGACTTTTTGACTTTTCTTAAAAGTTACCAAATCAAATCTGAGATACAGGATTCAGTATTTAGAACTAGTTGCGAAAATTTTTCCTGCAGAAGCCGCAACTGCTTATTTTTTGTGAGTAAGTTTTAAGTGTTTGGGAGACAAGTGTTATGTCCTGGGGAAAATAACAATTTCTCAAAAATTTCAACTCGTTTTACTTATTTTAGTAGTAATTTTTGAAATTTTGAAATTATCCATTTCATCGCGGATTAGTACACCAAATTCAAAAAATATCAATCATATTTAGCTGAGCATTTAGTAATTTAGAATCAAATAACTGCAAATGGTAACTGCCTAATTACAAGGACAGCATCATCTCTGCAGCAGGCCTTACTAAATGGGTTTTCATTCTCTGGCAATGCAAATCAGTTAAAAGAATAAAATTGACTGAATTATGAATAATAAGAGACTACCTTGTTTTAGATGGCAGAAGAACTCCAACGCCTAAGGTCACAATCTGCTAACAGTGAGTCCTCATTTTATCTTTACGGCTATTCCGCCTCAATTATACTGAGATATTTACACTTGCAAAAGCTAGTGTCTTGTAATCGGGAACGACTTTTTTTCCCTTAAACAACTTTTCGTACAATTTTTCAACTTGCTTTATTATTGAATCTTAACAACTTCAAGGTTCCTTCGCACTTAGAGGTAACGCCGTCGCTTTTGTACCCTAATGTCTGCTTTTTTTCAATATGTAAGCAATTGAATTTATTCCTGGTAAAAATTGAATAGTCGGGCTATCGTTTTATCGACCTAATTGTCACTTCACGAATTTTTTTCGTGTACTGTAAGTAACTTTCATTGCAGTTGCTAGTTGAAGTTTTGTTCATTGTGTTTACCCGGGTATCATGAAACTTTTCAATGGAATTTCTTCTTAAGTAAGTTTCAGGAGCGACTTAAGACTTCTAAAAAAATTGCAACATTTTTTTAATGCTTTTGAAGTTTTTTGATTGTGATGAAACGCAAGTGGTGCAAACCTCCGCTTCACCTCTGTATAACATACTGTAATGGTTTATCAAGTAACGATCAACAGGTTTCAGATGTTCATTGAGTTCTTGCAGTTTTCAAGTGTTGATGGACAGGGTTCAGGCGGTTATTGTGGTCTGGCAGTGTTTCTTGTTTTTGTTTCAGGAAAGTTTTAAAATTTGCTCAGAACTATTTTGGATTCGTGTATTTTATTTCATGCAGGTTGAGTTTGATTTTTCGTTTCCTTGTGAGTTTAAATCAAATTCATGTGCTAAAATGAAATGAAGGCAAATAGCGCTCTAAACTTAATAAAAGTAAATGGCGCGAAAGAAGTGAGAAACTCCTAGCTACAAAAGTAGAACTTAACTATTAAATTTTCAGTTGAATAAAAAAATTCCTTTTCATGCAGTATTTGCACAAGCGAGCTGGCGACCGTAGTTTAATAGTATGAGTCGAATTTTCCTAACCAAAAATGCAAATAAAAGAGCTCATTTGGTGGCACTTGTTTTAATCCCGATCTGTAGAATTGGAAATTTCATAGCATCTGTTTTCTGCTTTATTGGTAGCTTGCGTTGGACGATTGCCAAGTGACCGTGGCGCAGATGGAAGGGCGTGAGACGCCTAATCTGCTTGTCGGAGATTCAATTCCCTACTTAGCCCTAGATATTTTTAGTGACATTATTGCAGCATAGCATTTACAATTAACTTTGTCATCCATACCTTTGCATTATTTCCGTTGCTAATTTTCAATGGCCCATGGCGCAGATCGTGATACTCACAATGAATTTTGAGGTCGCAAGAGCGTGATACTCACAATTTTGAGGTCGCAAGAGCGTGATACTCACAATTTTGAGGTCGAAGGTTTGAATCCGACACATAGTAAAAAGTTTACTAATTTGAGGCTTATTTCTACCTTTTCGTATTAAAATTCATGAATGTAGTTACAATCACCTATGCTCCTTTATAGGTCTTGGTGATTTTTTGAATATTTCCTTGCGTTCATGACTGTTGGCTATTTTTCACTTTGTAGAGCTGCTTTTTCTCACTTCTGTTTTCCAAGCGCGGCTTTAAATCAAAGAGTTTTAACTTGAATCTTTATATTCAAAGAGTTCGCACTTGATGTACTTCTTTCTTCGAAAAATTGAAAAAACCTTTGAACAGTGACAATTTTCCAAATGTCTGTTGGCTATGTTTCAGACGTTATAGACAACGGTGAGTTTTTTCCCTAGTATAGATTCTATTTCTCTTAAACTATCGTAAAATTGGATGTGGAAAACTAGAAATTAAGAAATGAAAAGTGATATGTGATCATTTCGGAACTCTTTGTTAATTAGGCAATCCATAGAAAGTAATTTGAACTGATATAGATACTGTAATAAAGCTCGTCCTCAAATGTGAGGTCAATAAGATCAAAACTGGGAACGGGGTTTTTGTAACAATCCAGGATTTCTGTAACAATCCTTCCCATGGTGGCTTGAAACTAATATCTGCCTCTATAAAGGGCTAATTTAACGTGCATTAGGGGGGAGGGGGAGGGGGGTTTTTCGAGATCTGTCCTATCAGGCTTGTCTCGTCTCTTCGCTTACAAAACTGTTTTCTAGAAGCAATTGATATTTGAGGTTGAGGGCAATATATGTACAATCTTTCTCAACTCTCTGAAGCTAAACAGGTTTAATCAACTTGGCCGAAAATAATTTTACCAAAAATGTTTAATAGGTCATTAAAAGTGATACCTAGCGTGATCTCTTTCATGATGCTTAGGTGAACTGAGACGCCGACAGCTGCCTCACAATGCTTCCCCAAATGCCGCTCTCACAGTTACCCCAATGCATTCGCACCCTAGAGGAGCCCAATTCAGGAATAGTCCGGCGACCACGTCTAGTGCCATGCATCAACAGAGAATACCACCCGGGTCCGCATTGATAACTCCTCAGAGATTCCCAAGTTGGTTCCACTTCCGATACTGGCTCTTTTCCACTTGTCCCCCACCTTTCAAAATATCGATTTTTGTTGTGTTACGGGTTATTACGGCTAGATGCGTGATGTTAGGATGTGAAGTATGAAGAACAAATCTGTCAGTTTGCTTACCATGCCAAATTTACTTGAATTATGACAACGTTGAATAAGCTTTTCAAAATTGAGTTTGAAATGGGGGGGGGGGGGCTGGAAAAGAGGCCCGATAATTTTTTTTCCATGTTTTTTGTTTGCTCAAATTGTCTTTAATTTTTACACAAGCCAGCTTGCAAACTTAATGTTATATTAGCTTTCATTTTTTTTCTGTTAATGCGTCAATTAAACAGCATGATCTTGCAATACTTGCATTGGGATTCACACATTTCGCCTCTCGTAAATTTCTCCACTTATGAAATTATTGAAGCATTTTGCCTAATGCACATTTCGCTCCTCAATTCGTAAGTTTAGAACGAAATGTGTGAAATGATGACGGGCAAAAAGTGTGTGGGGGCGAAACGTGTCACATTCACTTGCATTATTGAAGCGCATCTTTGAAGCCTGATATCTAAGGTCAAAGTATGCGGGAAAGTCGAGGAAACCATGTCTAAGTGGTCAAGCCAATAGGCTGTTGGACGGATGGTCCAAGTTCGAATCCCGTAGTCTCCGAGTGTTATTGTGTTCTTTCTGCTGAATAGTTTCTTTCGCAACTTCTATTTGCTGGATTTGTTCAGTGGTTTTTTCTTCAGTGTGTTATGAGGGTTGACCTGTAATCTGACATGAAAAAAAAAGAAAATGAAGCAACCTGTAATTTTATGTTTACCAATACATTGCGAAGTTTCTTTCAGACATGGCGCAGTTTCTTGGAATATTCAGTTTTCTTCGCCCCTCCTCGGATTTAGGATTTAAGAATAAGAATAAATGAATTGTCTAAAGAAAATTGAAGTTTGAAATGACCAGATTAAGTCATGTTTTTGTACTTGAGAATTCAGACCTGATTGTTCAAAACTCCTCCATCGACAAAAGGCATGAAGCTTATTTGTGAGTGATTGACTGTGTTGCTATTGTTGTTCAGTGCACCCCATGCCCACTGCTCCTTCATCGGCTAGAAGCGGTGTAGCGGGAGTGGGAGGGGGAGGGGGAGGGGGAAGAAGGAGTACATTTGATAGAGTGATGGAGTACATTGTGGGAGATGGGCCGGATAACAAGTTTGCCCTCATCTGCTCCTTCTGTCTCAACCACAATGGAATGGCTCTCAAAGAGGAGTTCCAATATGTCGGTAAGTTCACTTCACTCACTTATCACTTCAGTCTAATCCATACGACTCTTTCATCTTTCACTTAACCATCAAACGAAATGCAAATGTCATCTTCTTGAAGTTATGCTACACGAAAACTCTAAAAAATACTTGAAAAATACAACTGCCCAAAATGGACTACCTGTAATAAATATGGAGACTGACGACCACGTATAATTAGATAACTAATTGAACTAAACTAAATTTAGACGGAGTATAAAAATAGGTATCTAAATTAGCGGCAAGCACCGATTCACGCGCTTTATGCTGTTTGCACTTGATGTATTCGGTTAAAATTGAACAGTAATTGGGTCAAGTTAGGTGAAAGTATTTTTGTAGAAAGCTTGAGTGGGTTCTATTACAATCCAAGCGTAAAAACATAATTCTAAAAAAATGTGCTTGATTTTTAGCTTTTCGCTGCGGGTATTGTGGCCAGTCTAATCCGGCTAAGAAAGAGCGACCGACTGCTCCGAAACTTCCTCTGAACCTCACCTCTTCCCCACGAGCAGCTAGCCATTCTGCGGATGCAGTCAACATAACAAACACTTCTTCGGTGTTCACTAATCGAGTCAACAATACAACGGCGGCATCCGCTTCTACACTGTCACTCGATAATAATGTCACGACCGAGAGTTCGTCCGCTAGGGAAGATAGGGAAAGTGGAGAGGCTAATAGAAATCAAGGTCATCGAAAAAATTCAGCGCCTAGTTTGCTCAACTTCACAGCAGATCAAGGTGAAAATCGGGTCATTGAAGACGCCGATGAAAATAATGAAATTGAAACTGACGACGAGAATGAGGATACAGCTGCCAATGATGACAATAGTACCGGGTTAGTCGAGCAGCAAGAAGTCAAATATGTCGATGGTTTTGGGGGCGGGGGCTATAGAGATGGGGGCAAGGAGTTCGATGAGTTCGAAGAAAAAGACGAGTCAATGGAATGTGATGATATGGATATTGCTGACAGCGATAATAGATATGGTAAGACTTTTTTGTTTCTCGTGCGCGAGAAAGATTTTTCTTATTTATACGAGCAAACGTTTATTTACAATTGTACCAAATTGATTTTCTGAGCTCTCGCAAGTCACGATTAAAACCCTATTTTGACCATAATATGAATTTTGACCTAATTGGGATTGTTTTTAAAAAAAAACTGGTGAGACATACGTTTTTGTTACTTTTGAGTTATATTTAATTATTTTGTCCCCGAAAAGTTTGGTAAGAAAGATTTGTTAAATATCAAAAGAAAAAGCTACACCCAAAGTGTTTTGTCTACATTTCTCATTACACTAGCGTCAGCCTAGTGTATTTTTAAGAACCTTCTTTTTTTCTAACCTAATTCGCAAATAAAAATGTTCATTAAAAGTGTTCGCTCATTTGGAAATTTCACTTTAGCATTGGAAATTGCATAGCATCTATTCTCTGCTTTATTTGAGACTAGTGTTTAATCTTCTATCTTTTCTGAACTGTTAATCTTCCGTGGCTAAGTGGTTAGTGTGTGTGATCTCTCATCTCATGGTCACAGAGACGAATCTCAGCCGTAGCCAATTTTGCTAATTCGAGGCTCATTTCTACTTTTATTTTTGAACATTATCGCAATTGTTCGCGAAGCGCAGATTTGTCTCTGTGTTACTCTTGTGAAATGCAAGGGTATTGCTACCGATACTTTCCTTTCTGTCCCGTAAATATCTTTTTTCATAGAATGGGCAATTTAGTAACTCCCATTTCTAAGTTCCTTCTAATGTATCATCTACATCATAGATGAATGCCTATTTAGAGCGTTCGTAAATGGTTTGTAAATTGTCCATGTAAGTCTTGTGATTGCTTTTGTTAGCGAACTATTGTTGGATTATTTTCAGTTTTTGGATTACTAATTGATCCAGCGAAATAAAAAATTTAGTTATTGATCCACCTTTCTCAATTTGGGTTAAATTTATGAAAAAAGCGCCGGTCATTAATCGTTCTAGAAATTTAAAGAGCTTAAAGGGCATCTATTTTTTTCTTTGAAAATCGAAAGTGTTTTTTTAATGCTTACTTGCGTTCATTACTCTTTTTCAATCTTTGATTGGCTATGTTTGAAAATGGATGTCTGAAAAGTCTATTGACTATTTTTGGGTTGTGCTGTATTTCTTCATTATGTTTCTGAATAATTTTAGCTAAATAAATTCACCCGATATGATACCTTGAGGCGTTCGAATTTTTTAACAAAAAAAATAATTGCACCGAAGAATTGAGTTTAACTGATTATCTAAATAGTTTTTTTTAAAGTTCTTCTTATTTCTTTCAACAATTTGGTTAATGTTGTATCGCAGCTGATCTCTTTCAGCTGTAAGCACTTAGTTACTAGGCTGACTGACGTTAGAGCAAGTACAGTTCTTTCGGATCAAAATTACAATTAATTCGGTCTAAGACTTGCACCTTTGATTTCAAAAGTAGCGGTGGTAAACTAACATTTGATGGTGATAATGAAATCAAAACATTTAGGAAGAAGTGGCGAGAAAACCTTAAATAACGAAACTGCTGATGAAACAAGCAATAGTGTCTCAAATTCACACCAGTCTCGGGAGGATGAAGCTCTAAGCAGTGAAGGAAGCGTAGATTCCGTCCAACCTCCTAGCCAATCAAATTTGGCTTTGGATTCAACCAATCAGAATAAAGCAGAGAGCGATCACGTGGCATCTAAGTTGACGGGATTTGAACAGACACTTCCCGATCTACTTCAGTAGTAGTTTTTTTTTAAATTTTGAATGTTAACCCGAGTGTTCAAGTTGCTCTAAGAGTTCATTTCATTGTTGCGGTTATGATGTAGATTAATTTAATTTTTTGACTTTTGTTATCAAAATATTAAAAGCGATTACTGAATGTAGTGAAAGTCTTGCATTTTGTCATGTTATTAAGAGTCAATGATCGTAGTGAAGACTCTCATAGATGTCTCAGCGATTTTTTTTATTTTTTTTAGAAGAAAAGTTTTAAAATGCTCTAGTAACTACAGAAGTGCGTTCATTACACTGACGAGCAGCTAGTGTGTAAATTTGGACCTTGTTCTTTTAAGCTAATTCGCAAATAAAACTGTGCTTTGATCACTTCACTGAAATTTCCTTGTTGCATGGGAAATTGCATAGCATCTGTTCTCTGCTTTATGTGTGGCTACTGTTTTGTATTAATTAAGCGTCCGTCGCTGAATGGTTAGCGCGTGAAACTCGTGATTTCTAGGTTGCAGTAGGCAGTAGGTTCGAATCCGAGATGTAGCCGAGTTTTTACAAATTCGAGGCTTATTGTACACTTCAAATTATTCAATTCAAATTTATTTTTATCCTTGCGATAAGCAAGGGTATTGCAATCGGGTACTAGACTTTTTCCCCGTAAACAGTTTTGTCCACACTTGTCATTTTAGAAGATCTTGTTTCATGTTGTAATTTAAGGATGTAATTATCTTTATAATTTTGTTATTCGGGTTCGTGGTTTTCGTCCTTGTTTCTTTCGCTTCGTTTTCCGGTTTTTAAACGCCATATTTTATCTGGCAGGGCTTTAGTTGGTTCACTATTTAAAGCTTGGGTTTTGTTTTAAATTAAACATTTTTTACTATGACTGAAACTTCACGAATTTGTAATTTTGCCATGTCTGATTTTAGTTTGTTTTTTCATTTTTGTTTTTCGTTTTTAAGAGTAATGAACGTAGTGAAGACTCTTATAAAGGTCTTGCTGATTTTTTTCCAGGAAAAATGCTTAAAATTTGTTCACACTCAATTTTGATTTTCGTGTTTTGACTTGTGATTTCTTTTTAAGTTCAATGCATTTCTATTGTTAAAAGGAAACTCCATTATCGAACAGAAAAATTGTAAAGGTCATGCAAAACGTGATCGACTTCTGATTTTGAAAGTGAAATTAATTATCAGATTTCCCAGCGAAATAAAAGTTTTACCTATTGATCCAGTTTTCGCGAATTGGGTTTATTTTAACATAAAAGTATCCATGGTAAATTGTTCTAAAAATTCAAAGAGCTTTAAGGCCATCTAATTTTTATTTCGAAATTCAAAGTTGAACAGTTTTGAAAAAACAATTCGGTTTTTCCTCAGTTTCCTTGCGTTCATTACTCTTTACCAACTGTCAGTTGGCTATGTTTTAAATATTGAAATAGTTTCAGTTTATGTTATATCGACTTAGTCAACCTATTTTGCGTAACTTAAAGGGCAAAAAATATCCATTTGGGTTTATTAAATTGAAAAGTTTTCACGACCCATTCAAACTGAAACACATAAACCCAAATGGATATTTTTCAGTTTCAATGGGCCGTGAAAACTTTTCAATTTAATGAAATTTTTTATGACACTTGTTTTGTTTTCGGCTCAACAGGTTTTGATCCAAAGTCGCTTTTGTTGCCGCTCGGTAAATGATTTCCATTTTTATGGGCTGTTTATGAAATTCGTCCGATACAAATTTGAAGTTTTTGTAGCTGTAATTTTCACCCTTGCGATAAGCAAGGGGATATTAATCAACTTTTGTCAAGTGATTTTTTCCAACAGAATTTTTCAGAATTATTTTTTGACTTCAGTATTTTTTTTTCAGTCACGATTTTGTAGCGAAATGTGTTTTTTGCATCGTAAGTGCTGCGAAGCTTCGCTTCGCCTCTGTGTCTAAAAGGTTGGCAACTCAAATTCATTCGCTAAATGCGCTCAATTCAAATTACTAAATTCTATTCAAATTCATTTGCTAAATGCGCTCTCCAAATACGAAAGTGGAAATCGCGAGAAAAATTTTGAATGATTTTGTTTTACGAGTCGAATTTAATTTTGAGATTTCCCAGAGAATTAAAAAGTTAACACATTGATCCATTGTTCAAGCCATCTAGTTTGTTCTTGGAGCTTCGAAAATTGAAATTTAAGCCTTTTTTTCTGTTTTCTTTTGTTCATTGACTCTTTCCAACAGTCTGCTGGCTATGTTGAAAAATTGTGGTAGACTAATGGCACATCCCATGTTTGATTTTTGTTTGCTTTCTTTTTCAGGAAAAACCTTAAAGTTTGTTTAGGCTCAGCTTTATTTTTCGCGATTTGACTTTTAATTTCTTTTTAAGTTCATTTCGTTCCCTAAAAAGAAGGCAAACTCGAATATCGAAGATAAAAGGTGTAAAGATCCCGAAATTTGATTGACTTCAAGTATCAAGAATGGGTTTTAATTTTCAAATTTTCCAGTGGAATTAAAATTTTACCTATTGCTCCAATTTTCTCAAGATTTATATATGCATATATATTTTTTGAAGTTCGAATGTCTGTATTTTTAGGAGTAATGAACCTAGTGAAGACTCTTATATAGGTCTTGCTGATTTTTTTAAGTTTTCAGGCAAAAATCTTAAATTTTGTTCACGCTTAATTTTGATTTTTCGCAGTTTCCACAATCAATCAGGCAAACTCCACAATTGAACAGCAAAGTATAAAGGTCACGAAAAATGTGGAATTTAATTATCAGATTTCCCAGTGAAATAAAATTTTAGGTATTGATCCAGTTTTCTCAAATTGGGTCAATTTCATGAAAAAATTGTCAATCATAAATCGTCCTAGAAATTCAAAGAGGTTTACGCCATCGATATTTTTCTTCGAAATTCGAACCGTGAAATTTTTCCAGAAAACAAGTCAGTTTTTTTCCATTTCTTTGCGTTGATTTACTTTTTTTAACTGTGTCGGCTATGTTGTTTAAAAAAGATGAACGTATAGACACGTATATAGGCCTTGTTGATTTTACATTGAATATCAAAGAATTTTAATGTGATATATTTTCACTTGGAATGTTGAAAATTCTGCAAAAGATTCCTTGTTCTGCGACATTTTCCCTGCCCTCTGTTGGCTACGCTTTACACTTGCAATAAGCAAGGAATAAAATCATTTCAATTGTGTACTATACTTGCTTTTCCCGTTGCAAGTTTTTTTCACTGAAGTCAAATGCAGGAATTGTAAATTTAATTTGCTACATTGATTGGAACCTAATATTCACTTGTTGGTAGGGGTTATTTGGCAGTATCTGGCTTGTGCAAGTGTCGGCCCGAACTTTTTTTAAAACTGAGCTTGTATACGTTTTGGCCTTTGGTTTCAGACTGAGTTTCTCGCGGTTTTGTTTCCGGTAAGTTTAAACTCAAGCGGGAGCGGAAGTCATATTACGAAGTCTGCTTTTTCAACCTAGTTCACAAAGAGAAGTGATCTTTTGGCGGTACCTTTCCTCCAATGCAGAGCATCGGCAATCAAAAATAGCATCTGTAGCTGCTTTATTCCTGGCTAGTGTAAATTAACAAACAACCCTCGTTTAGTTCATGTTATTTAATGTACAGCAAAAGTGTGAAGCTCACGAAAGAGCAAAAGTGTAAACATCACGAAACAGCAACACTTGATCGACGTAATGTTTCAAAAGTTGATTTGAAGTATCCGATTACCCAACGAAATGAAAATTTGCCCATCGGTCTATGGAAAAAACTTGTCAACCTTGAATTGTTCTAGAAATGCAAAGAGCTTTAAAACCATCGATTGCTTTCTTTGAAATTTCAAAGTTGAGGTTTTTTCAAACAAGTCAATATTTATTTGGTTCCATAACTCAACTGAAAAAAAAATCTGCAATTGAGCTAATACTATCCAAGAAGCTTATTTTTATGTTTATTTTTATCCAAACTAACTTATTTAATTTTGTGTTCCATATCGATAGAATAGTGAGTGTTTTATCCGCTTTAGTTCCTGGTATTTGCTATTGGAGGAGTTTTTAGCTTGGAATGTTACAAGAACATGCATAGATGCCAGATGCAGCGGCATATGCGGGGGAATCTTAGTATTTAGGCCTGCAAATCGAATCACGCCGCCGTCAGTTTTTTCAAAGCTTCTTTTCCTTCCAGACTTGTTTTTATATTTTTTTGCATTTTTGAAGATACTTTTTAAGAGTAATGAACGTAGGTTAGACTTTTATATAGGTCTTGGTGATTTTTTTGTTTTTCAGAAAAAAGTCTTAATATGCACTAATTACTACAGATGTGCATTCAGACAATTTAATGCATTTATGAATGCACCTAGGTATATATTCATTTTTTGTGTTCAATTGATAGTCATCTGCTGAAAGTTACGTAAATAGCACTCTCCAAATATGAACGTGCAAATGGCTTGAAAATTCGTGAACAATTTCTAGTTTCGAAAGTGGAATTTAATTTTTAGATTTCTAGCGCAAGAAAACTTTACCTATTGATCAAATTTTCTCAAATTGGGTTAATGTTATCAAAAAAGCGCCAATCATAAATTGTTCTAGAAATTCAAAGAGTTTAAAGGGCATCTATTTTTTCTAAGTAACCTGAAAGTTGAGATTTGTTAAACAAAGTCAGTGTTGTTGTTTTTTCTGTTTACTTTCGTTTATTACTCTTTTCCAACTGTTAGTTGGCTATATTTGCCGTTTCATCTGCTTGCGTTTGCAAAGTTCGTTCTAGTTTTGAAAATGGATTTTACTGTTCAGATTTCCCAGTTGAATAAAATTTTACCCATTGATCAAATTTTTCAAATTGGGTTAATTTTATCATAAAAAGTGGTAATCATAAATTGTTTCAGAAATTCAAACAGCTTTAAGGGCATCTAATTTGATTCTTTGGTTTTTTTTTTGTTTCTTGCGTTCATTGGCTCTGTTTCTACTGTCTGTTAGCTATTTTTTACTGCGAAACTCAAACGTTGCAGTTTTTCAATAAAAAACAAGTCAGTTTTTTCTGTTTCTGTGTGTTCATTGACTTTTCCAACTGTCTGTTGGTTATATTCGTTAAGTTCCGGTAGATGGCGCACCAAGTAAGCTCAGTCCGTGTCGAAGGAGGTTGCCATATGAGCTAG